CCTATTATGAACCTCTTTGGAAAAAACATTCTTTGTAACGTTGACTGTAGTAATTGTAATTGTCTAATTGTAGTTGACCTGAATTTCCTTCTTACTTTTCAGTCTACTGGTAGATCAGTCGTAAGTTTACAGACTTACAACGCTAAAATCCAAGGTTCTGTTCCACTCTGTGAACATAGTGAAAATAGTCCATTGTGTAGTTTTGCACTATGAAAACAATATCTTACACCTTAAAAATTATAAGCGGTATTATACAAAATATGAGTGGAACATGGGAAAAGTAACTCGTAACAACTGATTAGTGTATACATAGGCGGTGGAACTAATTTTAATTTGTGAGTTCACAGACGAAAGAGGGCACCTTATTTGTTATGTTAATGGTGACTATTGAATTCCAACTTGAAACAGCGATATTCCCCATTCAAAAGGGCACTTCGCTACCTGGTCAAAATCGGGGAGGGGGCATGTGTCCCCAGTGGCCTCCCCCCGCCGCCTATGAGTGTATAATAAGTGTATTTACACCTTCAGTTGCATTTTGTACACTCTTAATATTAAATTTATATAAAGAGAAAAAAATACAAATGTTTACTAATTGGTTCTGTACAAATAATATTACCACCAGTGGCACAGCGGTATGTCTGCGGACTTACAACGCTAGAAACCGGGTTTCGATACCCGTGGTTGGCAGAGCGCACATAGCCCATTGTGTAGCTTTGTGCTTAACTTCAAACAAAAACAAATAATATTACACCCGTCATACGAAGGGATAGAATATAAGGTTCTTTGCGTAAACGATGATTTTAATCTAAGCAATTCACTGAAAGGTAATGAATAAATACGGGCAACAGAAACAACAAATAGCAAGTAATGAGGATGTGTAACTCCAAGTTTCCAACGTTTACATACGTCTCCTTGTGTATCTAATCAACATTTTACTCATTAGCATATCGTAAAAATCATGGCATTATTTTCTAGATTTAAAAATTAATTTTGTATCACTCTTTGTGTGGCTGTTAAATGACGTTATTCTTCAGCGAACATCTCTGATTGACAGCGATTGCAGCAAAAATCAAATGATCAAGTAATATACAGCTAACTTTACTCCCGTTACTTCATTTTAGACCAATTTTAAAATATTAGCCACAACCTCTCTCACGACATATATGTATATATATGTATATAATAATTTGACAATTCATATTTTAATATACAATACAACAGCGTATAGCAGTGGTTTCCAAACTTTTTCACTGACGACACCTTAACCCACTAATTTTCGCGACACACCTGCTGCCACGTGCAATGGCTTTTTATAGTTTTTTATGTTCTTAATTATTCTTCATTTGGTGAAACTATCGCGACACTCCTAGCAACTTGGAAACCAAGGTGGAAATAAGTATAGCTGAAGAGTAGTGAAAACTACAAAACCGTTTCTATAAAGACCAAACGATTTTAAATACCTATAAAAGTGGAAAGGAAGAATAAAACAAGTTGTTACACGATATCTATCTTTATACACACATATCATTGGTTACAATCTCCTGTACTCTGGTCTACTATGGAGTACATGTAATATAGCCACAACCGAGTTCAACAAGAAATCCTTTAAACTAGGCATATTCAAGTGCCACTAGATGGATCCAATATCAAATCCTTTAATCCAACTATACTTAAGTGCCAATAGTTGTGTTTATTACCAAATCCTTTAATCCAACTATACTTAAATGCCACTAGTTGTGTTTATTACCAAATCCTTTAATCCAACTATACTTAAATGCCACTAGTTGTGTTTATTACCAAATCCTTT